AATCCACATGCCACTGACGATGTTTGCCCTTGGTGGAGGAACCTCGTCGACCTAAGTGCGTGTGGAATCCCAGGATGCTATCTCTGTATCCATGAGTGCTTGCCATTGAGAGGAGTAGGGACCCTCTATCGCTTGTGCGTAAGAGCGCACGGTCGGGAGGTGTGGTGTATCCGGGTCTCCTTCAGGGACAAGCAGCCTGGCCACAAGATGAGGCAGAGCAACTGCAAAGCACTCAAAGTCCTCCTGCCTGTCCTCAAGGATGTCCGTGCCAAGAGCACACTCGCCCCTGACGGACGGAGGACAGACAGACTCAGACTCAGCAACAAGACTAGTGGCGTAGTCTAGGCGACATACGGCAGCAAAGTGAGCAAGCTTAGCAACTAGGGCAGACGCAGCAGTGAACTCAAAGGAAGGATCACTGAAAAAAGTGGCTTGAAGACGTGTGACAGTAGGACTAGCAGCACGAAGTGAGCTAGACTCAGGGTCCGGTTCGTTAGCAAGAGAGGACTCAGGAGGAGATGGCAGAGGGACATGCAGTGGAACAGAGGAAGGAGGAAGTGCCATTTGGTGCGTGCCGAGGACAGGAGGAGGACGCCTACGCGGAACACGACGACCAGTGCAAGCAGCGCAAAGAAGCGACGCAGGATGTGACGCAGGATGAGACGCAGGCTCACGACGCTCTGTAAGACCAGCAGGCTGCTCAGTGTAAGGAGAAGGAGCCGGCAGACGAGAGGCTGGCAGTAGCTGTGGCTGTGACTGATCAGGCAGTGGGCACAGTAAGGGAGGAGTAAGGTCAATAGAGGGCGGGAGACCAAGAACCTGCTGAAGGAGTGGAACGAAGTACGGTCGCGGTCGCATAGCGCCTCAAGAACTAGCTCTGATAGCACCAGCACCCCAAGGGCCAGCACCTCTAGCTCCAGGGCCTCCAGCAACTCCAATGCTTCCAGTAGCTCCAGCTTCAGCAGCACCCCCAGCTCCAACAGCTCCAGCACCTCCAGCAGCTCCAGCTCCAGCAGCACCTCTAGTACTTCTAGTACGAACACCTTTGGAACCAGCAGCTCTTGCACCTCCAGCAGTTCCGTATCCAGCAGCAACTCCAACTTTAGTAGCTCCAGTACCTCCAGTACGAGCACCTCCGGGACGAGCGGCTCCAGCACCTCCAGCAGCTCTTGCTCTAGCACCACCACTCCGGAGGCTCCAGCGCTGAGCAAACTACTCGCGCAGGTGCAATGGAGAGAGAGACTCCCGCCGTGACAAGACACCCGAAGGACCTCCAGGCTCAGCATACTCGGGCTCAGCACCCCCAGGCTCTGCACCTCCAGGCTCTACACGCTCTCGCTTAGCAGCTCCGTACGCTCAGACTCAGCAAACCCAGGCTCAGCACCCCCAGGCTCCGTATGCTTGAGCTCAGCACCCCCAGGCCCCACACCCGTAGGCTCAGCACCCCCAGACGCAACACCTCTAGCAGTACCAGAGTCGACAACGGCCTTGACAGGCTCAACAGGGTCTACCTGGAAAACACCTGAGGGAGCAGGACTCCGAGGGGGGAGGGGGTCTACCGGAGGAGGACCTGGTGCGAGGAAGAGCGGACGAGGAGAGAAAGGGGCAGTGCGGTAGGGGAAAAGACAGTAAAAGGGAATCGACTCATCAAACGTGACGTCCTGAGAGGACAGATCACGGCACGAGGTGGGGTGGTAAAACTGCCAGCAAGGCGCGTTAGGGGGAAAGTCAAGGAAGACACAGGGAACGGCGCGGGAGGAGAGCTTGTCTAGGGAGGTATCGCGGACAAAAGCACGACATCCCCAGACCCGTAACAGTGACGTATCGCCAACCTCCCCCGTCCAACGCAGTGTGGGCGAGGTCTCTGGCATGGAGACACGGGGCAAGAGGTTGAGCTGATGCGCAGCGTACTGGACTGCAAATGGCCACAGAATATGGAGGGCAACCGCATGGATCATGGAGGTACGAGCAACCTCCAGGACTAAGCCAATGCGGCGCTCAGCAACCCCATTCTGCTGCGGAGAGGCCGGAAGCGTGAACGTCTTGCGAATGCCCTCCCTACGAAAAAAGCCCCGCAAGAGGTCGGAGGAAAACTCACCACCTATGTGAGAGTGCAGACGCAGGATAGGAAGGTCCGTCTTGAACCGCTCGCGGAGCTGGAGACGAACAGTGTAGATCCAGGGGATCAGAACATCAGGGACCTCCCCCTTGTGGCGCAAGGGGAAGACCGTGGTGTAACGCGTGTAGTCGTTCACAACCAGCAGAAATTACCGCTTGTGGCCCTGTCCACGGACGCGGGCTGGGCCCCACACGTCCAGGTGGAGAGTCTTCAGGGGAGCCTCTGTCGGGGGGAATGGGGAGGAGTGAGGAGCAGCGCGCTGCTGCCCCTCGACACAGGGAAGGCAGGGAGGGGCAGGCAAGGGTGGGAAGGGAGGCAGAGACCTGGGAAGACCAGAGACAAGGAGACGGGAGTGCATGCCACGGAGGCGTGCCACATAGGGGTGACCAAGGCGGTGGTGCCAAAGGAGCATCTGGTGCGACAGGGCACGACACGAGCAGGGGGCCACAAGGTGACCTGACGCAGACGCCGACGCAGCTACCTGAGGAGGCATAGTAGTCAGTGTGTACAGACTCGACCCAAGCCGACGGGTGAATGTGGCCAGGTGTCTGCCAGTCCAGGAACACGTACACATCGCCACACACTGTTCTCCATGGATGAATGTATCGACCCACTGATCCTGAAGGACTGCATTGCTCACGAAGTGCGTAGAGAACGAGGGAAGGTGGAGACCAGACAGCAAGCCAAACGGAACCGCCGGACAAGGCAGAATAGTTGAGGAACGTGCAAGGACTGGGCCCCCAAAGGGGTCAGCCAGAAAGACAAGAACAGGTGCAGAGAGTGGTGTGACTGTGGTCCTGTCGCGAAAGAAACAGCGGGAAGCACCTGAGCCAAGCGTAAAGGTGTGCAAGGCCGAAGCAGGCGCAGTACCAGAGAGAGCAGACTCACCAGCACCTAGAGCAGCAGCCTCTATACATGGGTCTGCAGCCTCTACACCTGGGTCTAGCAGCATACACAGGTTGCAGTCACCCTCTACACTAACAGTCGATGCGTACATGGCAGATAGTATAGCATCATAATCAAACGCAAAGATGTCTGCACCCTGCTTAAGCAGCTCTGCTCAACGGGGGAGCTCAGCCGCGTCTGGAAACTCTGTGCGGAAGGCATCGGTAAGATGAGAGAAGCAGCGGTACCACGTGTGGAGCTTCCCGCATGTCTGACCAGTGCAGTCACCTATGCGAATGACATACGGGCAGGGACCACTATCCCCAGTCGCCCCACACTGAGCAAACCACTCACGTAGCTCCTGGGGCGAAAGCTGCCGCTGCTCCTGCCTCTGACCACCACCCGGGTCTCCCCTTTGACTCGTACCACCCCGGCCGCCACCACTGCCACCGCCTCCACTCCCACTGCCGCCACCACTGCCGCCGCCACTACCGCCACTGCCGCCACCATTGCTGCCACCTACACCTCCACCCCCACCACCACTCCCTCCGCCACCGCCACCCCCTCCACCACCTCCACCGCCCCCACCACTGCCTCCACCTCTGCTGCCCCCACCGCCCCTGCCTCCCCTGCCCCTGCCACTGAGGCGCCTTCCAATAGGGGCAGATGCAGCTCCTACCCGCCTCAACACGAAGGCAGTCAACAGCTGAAGCCACCCCCACCCACCTGTGGAGCCTCGTATCGTCCTGCGCCGCTCCCGCGCACCCATTCCAGCCGCCACGTCATCCCCAACCCTGCCCTGGTTGCCACGTCAACCCCAACCCGCCCCAGTTGACCCCTCACATACCGGGAATGGGTTTGTATCCTGGAGCACAAGCACACGTACCTTGTCTACGGCACTCATCAGCGGCGGGGTACCAGCCATAGGCACCACTGCTGTCCCCCCGGCATAGCTGGCAGATGCTCCACGACGCAGGCCGAGCTGAGCAAACATGGCGTACATCTCGGACCGTAGCGCCTGGAACTTTTCCTGTGTAACAAATTGCGCGTGCTCTGCACTTTTGCCCAGCGCATCCATGACATCCGGAAAAGGGTGTGAAGAAACCCCTCTCTGGCCAAGAGGATCAATGTCTTCCGCAGCAGTCCCGTGTGCCCTCACACTATCACAGTGGCGGGAAAAGGGCAGCTCAAGGAAGGGATTGGCAGAAGTGGCTGGCTGATGCGCGTGCGAAGGACCAGCAAGGGGGGAGACCGCCCTTCCTCGGACAGGAGAAGCGTGGAGCTGCCGATATGGGAAGGAGGGTGAGGCGAGTGGGGAGTGCGTGATGTGGCCTGGTGGAGGGGATTCGGATTCCTCTCCTCCAGGTGCTGTAGCTGCGACTTTGGAAGGGCCAGAGTATGGCGTGAAGTACCACAGGGCTCCTGTGGATAGCGGGGCACCACTCGCTCTTCCGGTACCCTTCGTTAGCTGCATCCATTGCACGCTTACTGGTGGCCCAATGCCTGTAACACGAGGGGCTGAGGGTTATAGGGAGTAGGAGCACGGAGTTGGTGTCTATAATGTTCATGCTATGTACAAAAGTACAAATGCAAGAAAATGAGCAACCACTTGATTCTAACATGGGTGTAGCTGGGGACTGTTGTGTACAGTCACGCCTCACCCGGCTTTGCCGATTCGTCAACCTTCTCCTTCCCTGCGGCGGGGAAACACGGGTGGAACACGTGTTGTTAGGCTCGGTTCACCACAAAGTACGGCAGCTATGCCATGTGTTTCTGACACATTGCTTACCTCGTTGTTGTCCCTTCAGTTTTGCTGCCTGCACCTTATCGTTGCCACCTTTCCGCGGAGTGCTTTGGCGGCCGCTGCATCGTTTACGGGCAGGTTCTTTCTTTGCCGAACCTACAGGAACCCCTTACGCGCGCACTCCCTTTCGTTCTCCATCGCCTTTAGCTCCCTGTCTCCCTTGCTTCTTTCCACCCCGGCCAGTTTCGGCCTTCACTTTACGCGCCTTCGATTTGCCCGCTGATTCGCCACGCGTTGCATCAACCGCCCCGCGTTTTCGGGATTGACCAGACTGGCCCCCCACCTTCCCTGTACCACTCCCCCGACTGCCTCGGGCGCCCCGTTCTTTAACTGCCGGCACATCCTCCTCCTCTGCCTCATCCGTCCCTTCCTCCTCTCCTCCTCCTCCTCCTCCTCCTCCTCCTCCTCCTCCTCCTCCTCCTCCTCCTCCTCCTCATCCTCCTCCTCCTCCTCCTCATCCTCCTCCTCCTCCTCCTCCTCCTCCTCATCCTCCTCCTCCTCCTCCTCCTCATCCTCCTCCTCCTCCTCCTCCTCCTCCTCCTCCTCCTCCTCCTCCTCCTCCTCCTCCTCCTCCTCCTCCTCCTCCTCCTCCTCCTCCTCATTCTTGTCCTCATCCTTGTCGTCCCCCTCCTCGTCCTCCTCCTCGTCCTTATCATCCTCCTCATCCTCCTCCTCCTCCTCCTCCTCCTCCTCCTCCTCCTCCTCCTCCTCCTCCTCCTCCTCCTCCTCCTCCTCCTCCTTGTCGCCCCCCTCCTCGTCCTCCTCCTCCTCATCATCGTCATCCTCCTCCTCATTCTGATCCTTTTCTTCCTCCCCTGCATCCGCGTCCTCCTCCTCTGCATCCTCCTCAGCATCCTCCTCCTCATCCCCCTCGTCCTCCTCATCCGATTCACCAGGGCCTTCTTCACCACGCTTTGGCCTCTTCCCCCTCGATGCTTGCTTGCCCCTCCGTCTGCCATATGGTTTCCTCGATCCAGGTTGGCCCTTATGCCGCAATGCATGACCCGTCGCTAGTGCCTCGCGTTGTCCCAACTTCAGCACCACCGGCGTCGTCACCACTGGGTGTCGTCTGCCTCCTTTTCGCGCGTGTGGAGATGTCCTCGGCCACGGCGGTGTCATACTCCTCCTCCCCATTGCTCTTCCTCTGCCTACGCCTCCCACGTCCACCAGAGGGAGGTGATCCACCGATGTCGGCAATGTCGTGTTTTGGCTCCTCCGTGCAATCGTATGCAGCATCCTTGTCCTTATCTATCACTGCAACAAAAACTTCGACCACGGACAGGGGGGGCAGCGGCACATACTGCTGTGATGCCTCTGCCTTGGACACCACGGTTGTGGCATGGTCGTCATGGGGAGAGTCGCCGTACTTTCCTCTAGTCGCCGAGCCCTCTCTGTCTGCCGACCGGATGGCAAGACTCACGCTCCCTCGCCCAGGGTCTTCTTTGCCACCGAGGGTGCCGTCGTCTGCATCCTTTTTCATGGTTGAAACCTGCTTGCGTGCCGTCGGTTGCTTCCCCTTGTCCTCCGCCTTCTTCCCGGACTTCTTCTGTCCCACCTCAGCCTTTTTTCCCGCCACTCGTTTCTGTTGACCGGTTTGTGCGGCGGCCGCTTTAGTAGCTTTAGATCTGGCCCCACCCTCTTGGTCAATCTGAAGAGACATCCTCCTTGTCGAGCGTCGTCCGGCCCGCTCCTCCTCCTTTTCAGTTTGCCGAGTAGCATGTGTCATGAGGGTTGTTGCAAGTTATAACTTGTGGGAATGTGTAGCCGGCTCTAGTAACTAATCGCTAAGGATTGTTACTAAATGACCCCGTCCTGGTCTAACCGATATTCTCTCAATGGAAACCTCAGGTACAATTACAATCGAATAAGTAGCTACTAAGCACATGGCTTCAGCCCTTTGCTTAGTCGCTACTATGAGACACGGGCAATCTAGAAACGCCCGTGTCAAACAACGAGCACCGTCAAAGAAGTGGATATGAGGGTGATGGAAGCTGGTGGGTGGGGCACGACGGTGGTTGGGATGACATGCGAGTCTAGAGACAGGACTGTAAGCAGACCTGGCACAATCGGACGGTTGATCCCCTATCTGCTTGATCACAATCGCTGCTTCCGCGGCGAATGTCCAGCTTGGCTGGTGCGTTTGTGGGGAGAGGGGTCGTTTGAGAAGCGTCGGCCCATCAGCGCCAACGCCTCAATCTTTCTCAAATCTACTACAGTTTCAAGACCACCAATCATCACATCTTGCAAAGTACAGTGCCTATGTGCATTTGATCAAAGTTGCACATAGGAGCAAAATACACTTACAAAGTACAACAAAGACAGCTTTCACAAAACGGCCGCTAATGGTGTCATATTGTTGTTGGCAAACTCCCCACCCCTGTCAAAGTGGAGATGTAGGACGGAAAACTCCGTCCCGAACCGCTCGCAGAGCTGGAGACGGGCAGCGCGGATCCAAGGGATCAAAACATCAGGGACCTCACCCTTGGTGTGCAAGGGGAAGACGTGGTGTAACGCGAGTAGTCGTCAACAACCAGCAGGAAGTACCACTCGTGGTCCTACCCAGTGATGCAGGCCAGGCCCCACACGTCCATGTGCAGGGTCTGTAGGGGAGCAGTCGTTGGGGGAAACGAGGAGGAGTGAGGAGCGGCGCGCTGCCGCTCCTCGGTACAGGGAAGACAGGGAGGAGCAGGCGAGGGTGGGAGGGGAGGCAGAATCCTGGGAAGACCAGAGACAAGGACACGGCGGTGCATGCTACGAAGGCGCTGCACCGAGGGGTGACCAAGACGGTGGTGCCAAAGGAGGGTCTGGTGCGATAAAGCGCGACACGAGGAGGGGGCCGCTAGCTGACCTGACGCTGACGTAGACGCAGCGACCTGAGGGGAAACAGCAGTCAGCGTGTACAGACTCGAGCCAGGCGCACGGGTAAACGTGGTCAGGTGCCGGCCCATCCAAGAGCACGTAAATTGGGTCACGCGCTGACCTCCAAGAGTGAATTGGTCAACTCACTGGTCCTGGAGGTCAGCACCACTCACCAAGTTTGTAGAGAATGAGGGGAGGTGAAGACCAGACATGGAGCCAGACGGGACCGCCGGACACGGGAGTACCGTGGAGGAGTGCGCAAGGGCTGGACCCCCAGAGGGGTCTGCCAGGGAGACTGCAACCGGCCAACAAAGCGGTGTGAGGGTGGTGCTGTCGCGAAAGAAGGAGCGGGAAGCACCTGAGTCAAGTATGAAGGTGTACAAGGCCTCAGCAGGCGCAGTACCAGAGAGAGCAGACTCACCAGCACATGGAGCAACAACCTCACCAGCACCTAGAGCAGGAGACGCATGACCACCTAGAGCAGCAGCCACACCAGCACCTAGAGCAGGAGATGCACCACCACCTAGAGCAGCAGGCTCTATTCCTGGGTCAGGCGGTACGCACAGGTAACAGGCAGAGTCAGCACTAGTAGGGAATGCATACATGGCAGTGAGAATAGCATCATATTCAAGAGCAAAGACATCTACCCTCTGTCCAAGCAGCTCCAGCCAGGTGGGGAGCTCAGCCTTGTCGCCAAACTCGGTACGCCAGGTGTCGCTCAGACGGGCAAAGCAGTGGGGTTGTGTGTGACCAGGCGTCCCGCAAGCCTGACCAGCCCGATCAGCTGTGCGAATGACGTACGGGCAGCGAGCGGTACTCAAAGACCCTCTACTATGAGCGTACCACTCATGAAGCTGCTGGGGCGTAAGTGTCTCGCGCGGATGCCACTGCGGCTGCAGCTGGCCATTGCCAGACGCTCCCGGCTGACCAGCTTCAGGGCGACAGCTACGACGGCTGCCGCCACAACCCCAACTAGCGTACCACTCACGAAGCTGCTGGGGCATGAGAGACTCGCGTGGACATCGCTGGAGCTGCATCTCGCCACCGCCAGTAGCAGCAGTAGCAGTATGAGTAGCAGTAGTAGCAGCAGCAGTGCGGGCAGGGCAGGCACGGCAGGCAGGCACGCAGGCAGGCAGGCAGGTAGGCAGGCAAGCAATCAGAGGGCGCGGCAGCGCGCAAACAAGGCAGGTGCTCACCAGTGGCGGGAAGGGCAGGCGCTTGCTGGGCGAGCAGCAAGGTAGGCGTACGACGGCGGCAACGGCGGGACCACAACAGCACCAGAAGAGTAGGGCCGCGGCACTTCCAGGGCGGGGTCGCGTCAGCGGCAGGTCGGGGCCGCGTCAACTGCAGAGCAGGGCCGCGTCAGCGGCAGGTCGGGGTCGCGACAACGTCCTGGTGAGGCCGCATCGGCGGCAAGGCGCGGCCGCGTCAGAGGTAGGGCGGGGCCGCGTCGGCGGCAGGGCGTGGCCGCGTCAGTGGCAAGGCGGGGCCGCGTCGGCGGCAGGGCGCGACCGCATCACAGGCAGGGCGGGGCCGCGTCGGCGGTAGGGCGCGACCGCGTCAGAGGCGGGGCGGGGCCCGCGTCGGCGGCAAGGCGTGACCGCGTCAGTGGCAGGGCGGGGCCGCAACCTGGCGGGGCCACCTCGGCGGCAGGGCAAGGCCGTGTCGGTGGCAGGGCGCGCCCGCGTCAGAGTCAGGGCGGAGTCAGTGGCAGGGCGGGCCGCGACAGCGACCTGGCGGGGTGGCGCTCAGACTTGACGGGCCTGTAGGGGTGGCTCGCGGGCCTGACGGGCCTGCAGGGGCGACGGGTGGGCCTTACGAGCCCGCAGAGGCGGCGCGTGGGCCTTACAGGCCTGCAGGGGCGGGGCGCTGGCCTAGGGCAGCAGGAGGCAGCGCGAGGGCTGCAGGACAACGCGCGCAGCACAGCACGTCACAAGGCTGTCAAAGTTTAGAAGGAAGAAGGGGGTTGTACAAGCAAGCAGCAAGATACAAATAGGAAACCCTAAGGGGTTGTACTCACTATAGAGTACCCCACTGCAGGCTAGAGAACAAAGATAAGATTCTGACACACCCCCATAACCAAAGTGGGGTGTAATCAGCAGAGCAAGCAAAGCAGTACAAGCTCAGGGTGGATCACAATGTCACCACACATTCTGAGCACAAGTTCAAGAAGCAATAGTTTAAAGTTCACAATTATGAGCAAAGCTAGAGGCTATCGCAGAGGGCATGTGTGGAGGAGGAGGGACTATGGGGGAGAGAAGATGGGAGGCGACTGCTGACGCTGCAGACACACAGACGAGCTGCTGGCTCAGTGGCTACCGGAACAGCGCTCCAGACTACTGGAGTAACTGGGCCCGCGGCTAAAAGTAGCGGCAGACGAGCAATGGACCCACGGGCGACTGGCGACTACCGGAGATAGTAGCCTCCAGACTGCTGCTGCTGCTAACGACAAGACTGCTGCCTCCACTCAACCTCCCCCAGCTGCCCAACGCCCCTCTCATACACCCATTGCTACACCCCTAGCTCCACTCCCCCTTCACCCCCCCTTAGTACCACTCCAACGGCTCCAACAAGTCCACCCCCTCCCCCTCAGCGGCAGCTGCAGCACAGGGAGACAGAGGAGGAGGAGGAGCAGGGAACGGCACACAGTGGGTTCACCCCCAAACCCTAATTCAGGAGAATGGGGAGTAGGAGGGGTGGGGCGCTAGTAGAAGCACTGGGGGACAGCGGGGAGGGCAAGGGCTGCAAGGAACGGGCCCACCACGGGCGTGGTACAGTCGCCCGAGCCGCGCGCAGGCGGCCCGAGCCGCGCGTGGGCCTGGCGTCGCCCGTACGGGCCATGCGCGGGCCTGGCGCAGCCCGTACGGGCCGCGCGCGGGTCTAGCGCAGCCCGTACGGGCCACGCGAGGGCCTAGCGCAGCCCGTACGGGCCGCGCGCTGCCTGTACGGGCCGCGCGCAGGCCACGACGGGCGACGGGGGGCGACGCGCGGGTCCCCGTCGCCCGTCGCGGCGCCTCCCGAGGGCGACGCGTCGAATGACGGGGCAGAAGCCCGCCGCGCGCCTCGGGGCGCACAGCGGGTAGAGAACCGCCGTGCGCCTCGGGGCGCACGGCGGCCAGAAAACCGCCGCGCGCCTTGGGGCGCACGGTGGGAAGAAAAACTGCCACACGCCACGGGGCGTGCGGCACCGAGTGTAGTGGTAGCAGTTGCAGCGGAAGCAAGGAGGTGGTAAGCCCACCCACAGGATCGATCCAAGGGGATCGACCTGCTCTGATAGCATGTCAAAGTTTAGAAGGAAGAAGGGGGTTGCACTAGCAAGCAGCAAGATACATGTAGGAAACCCTAAGGGGTTGTATTCGCTATAGAGTACCCTACTGCAGGCTAGAGAACAAAGATAACATTTTGACAAAGGCAAGGCAGGCAGGCAGGCGCAGGACAGCACGTGGGGTAGCGCGGTAACCGCAACGGTAGGTGGGCCCGAAAAAAAGACGGTCCTGCGGATCTACTGCTCTGATACCATGTTAGAATATAGCAGCAGGAATGGCATGCACTATAGAAGAGAGGGGTACAAGTATGAAACCCTAAACGAGGCTGTACCTCATATTGGCTACCCCACTACAGCCTATACATATATAGCATGCATATACTTTGACGATTGTGTAATGCTAAGTTAGTGCATTTGGCTTAGGACATGCGCTTTCAGCTTCCATACATCAACTCTTAACAACTGTACTAAGCACACGTTTAGGGTTGGCGACAGGTATTGGTCGTTAGACCTTGTTCAAATACGACGTGTACTAGTGCCAACTGGGATGGAGATGTGGTGTGGTATAGGCATGGGCTCAATTCTTGCGTGGGCACTTGGCA